TGAGGTGACCTCTCGGAAGAACAGAGCCATTCAATTACTGGCTATGAATAGAGCAATCCAGCCGTATTCTTTTTAAATAATTATTAATTTTGTTAATGTCCATACAAAATGGGTCTGTATATTATTTGTTTATATTAGGAAAATAATACCAAACCAAACCTGTGGTATATATCATCACAAGTTCTAATGCATGATATTTCCAAATGCTTTGTGAATATTCCTTAACAAATTGTGACCAAGATATAATTTCCCATGTATCATGATTCATTGATTATATGGGGAGGTATAGCTTATAAGGGAATTAAGGCGATAACTGAATTCTGTTACATTTATATGGATACCAACTGAAAAAATACATCATTAAATTGTTGAAGAAGAAAAAAGAGCAAAATTCCTAATTTTGATCGGAAACATTTTAAAGTTTGTGTTTAATCCTTTGTTTTTAAAGGATTGTTATCATCCCCTCACTATCTTCGGATTTTCAGAATATTGAATACGATTTCCAAGATGCCTCGAGCTTATTGTTGAAATGTTTCTAACGGCCATTGTTATGCCCCAGTTTAATTTTGAACGGATTTTTTAGAATCTTAAATCAAATCCCTTAAGACTTTACATAGAAGACAGGTGCAATTGGGTGTACTTGTATTTCGTGATACAAACCGATGCAACGGTGAACTAAAGGCATTTCGTAGATGTATATTTGATGCAACCCGACTAAAGATCTTTGTCTGTTGCATGCGAAGAGTCATTTTCATTGCGTTATTACACGTCCCAATCAAGCATGTAAAGGCAATTAGCACATGCGCCAGTAACTTATCCTATTCTTGGCGCTGTCCATTTGCAATCATAATTATTCAAGTGGTATCAGCCGCACAAGTCACCAAAATATGGCGTGTGAAAGATCGCACCAGTATCTGATGTAGTCCTACGTCATGCAAATAGGGACTTTTAGATTTGCGTGGACTGATACGTGTGACGTCCATTCAAGGCAGTGCATTAAAAGGACGTCGATCGTAGCAATCCCCATTGTCTTTGTGCGAATCTAAAAGTCCCTAATGACGCATCGCGTGCAACGGGCAAGCTGTGCGAATGATATAATACAAAATGGTGACTGCGAACATTGCTTTGAATTCTGGCACATACCTACATAGCGTAAGTATTGACGCAATCCAAATGACGCCTCGTGTGCGTGTGTGTGTGTGTGTGTGTGTGCCTCTCTCTCTCTCTGTATGTGTGTGTGTGAGAGAGAGAGCGTGTGTGTGGTGTGTGTGTGTGTGTGTGTGTGTGTGTGTGTGTGTTTGTGTGAGTAAGGGGAGGTTAGCGTGTGGTATAAAGGGCTGAACAAAATGGAGCGTTACATACACGGTGCTTTTTGTCTGACCGAATTGGTTTACCAAGTGGCATACCAAGGGTCCAGCCATTGAGGGACCGGCTCCTAGTCTTGAAAGGTCGATGAAATGAGTGAAAAAAGGGCCATCAAGTATACTGTTGGGTTTTGGAATTATCAAAATGAAACGAGTTTCAGTCATGTTGCTTGAACCACATGCACTCCATACAATAATGGGTGTGTGGGACTAAAACCAACATACTCCCACGCGCACACACAAGAGGCATGGACGTTCGGTATAACCCTTTCATCTGCATGTATTTCATATTTAGAATATGAGGGTATCTCATTATCTTCTACCAGAACTAAGCCACTTTGATAAACCGAAACTTGACATAGTTTATAGTATAAAAAGAGTAACGACATGAAATCTAAGGAAAATATGAAAGAAACTCAGACAAATATGAAATAAAATACAAATGACTGTAGACAAACGAGTATGATGATTCATATATAGAGTAAAGGAGAGACATAGACTTGAAAGGGGTAGGTGTCAATACCTTGAAGAACGAGTGAAATGCTGTCGCATTTTGTGGAGGCATACTCGGAAGGAGCCAAAAATTGGCAGAAATCTAGCTGAGTCACGGAATACATTCCATCTTACATGGAGATAGGTGTGACAGTCATTTCTGAGAAAGTCATGCACATTATTCTCTCTCTTTCTTTATCTCTGTCTCTCACCCCCCCCCCCTCTCTCTCTCTCTCTCTCTCTCTTGGATAGCATTTACTGTTTCCAAAAGTTACATCATGCACCGGAACCTAAAACATCATCCTTTCACCTGTACGCGTCATTTCTTGTTTGGATAACATTTTATAAGACAATGCCGACTGCACCGAAACTTCGCTTTTATTACACAGTCATCTTTTTTAAGTGATTGATGCTGCTACACCATGTACACTTAGTGGCACATTCATTAATATTCATTGAACTACCTTATACTGATTGTAAATCTTTGCATCCGTTGTATATTTGTCATCTTTGATGTATTATGTAATCGGTATACTAATGGCAGGGTTATGGGAATGCTTTTACTGATTTATCTTTCATTACTCATTAAGTAAAGTATAGAATCATATTGTCTGATACGTGTATGTTTATTGTTCTTCCATCATGCCTATTTTTACTGTATGAAGTAAACGAATATTCACTGCCACGCGCACAAATTGTAGCTACTTCCGACGGTAATTGGAGGCGTCGTCCAATCATTCTTTTTTCAGCTACAATAAGAAGCCAAGTGGTCACTTCAGCTAGGACGATTGATTGCATTTCTAATGATGATATATTAGATATTGCTTTCCAGCCAATTTTACGTCTGTATTGTTTATTTTCTAGTCGTCATCTGCAGGGCCATGATAGAACAATTTTATTCCCGACAGGAAACGTTGCCATAGAAATGGAATGTCATTCTAAACGTTGAGATACGATAATTCTATCTCATCCTCGTTGCTTGCATCCACGCCAGGGAATACAGCGATTAACTTGCAATTCGAAATATGGAATTCAATAGATTATTGACGTTATCGGACAAATAGATATATTCTCATCTTGATTGAAAGAGGAAGAAACGAGAGGAGCCCCCCCCCCCCCCCCAACACGGTTCCCCATGATTGCCTGATTCACTACAGTGATACAAAACAATGCTACCAACCTTTTAATAATCTCGATATTAATTAACCTCAGAATACCGATGAAAATATTTTTAGACAATACCATATTAGTTTTTGCTCCTAGTTTGCCTTGAATCTCGAGCTGTTCCGCCTACGCTTCCTATACTTAAAAGGACTACTCAATCAACTTAATTAATCGTAATCTATTATGTTACTTTGTTTTATTGATCATTTGAATTGTAGTTATGAAGAAGGATTTGGCTTTTATCAATTAGAGCTAATGAAGCTAAATTCCACGCAGCAAACATACTCATGTTCTATTGCTTTGTATATTTTCGCTATGCATCTGCCCCCTCATTAGAAACATTGATAGTGCCTTCCCTTAGTGCTCTGACTATCGACCAACTTATAAGATAAGAAAGTGATATGTTAATGTGTATATCTATCGTACAGTGAAAAAGTGGCAAAAACTGAAATGTGTATATACATTTATATTAAAAGGTCAACTACCAGGAAATATGTTAGTTGGAGGAGGAATTGTTTTTTTAATAAGTGATTTTGGTTGATTGATAGCAACAACAAAAAGCAATTGTATAAAAGGAATCAAATATGGAGGCGAAGAGGTTAATTCAATTGTATTTAATGTTCCAAGATTTTGGTGTACCGTTGTGGCTAAAAAAAATTCTGACAAGCAAATCTATGCAAGAAGAGAAATGGGTAATCAGGTTTTTAGTGTGTCGTTCTCCTTCTTTCTTCTCCGATTTGTTCTTTTTGTGGGGGAAAGTGGCGCGTGCTCCCTGTGCCCCTCGATCCGCCAGTGAATTAAGTTACTCCAGAATTGAGGAATCGACAACGACATTTCAGCCGAGAATAGACTCGAGAATAGATAATGTTTAGTTGCGATTAGTTTGGTCCCCCCCCCCCCCCCCATCGACGCCATGTCTAACTAGCAGATGGATTAGGTACCTACTTTTAACAGACCAAAGCTTCAAGAAGTAATATTCCATCATTTCAAAGAGAAAAATATGGTTTTAAGCGTCCATAATGGTGGGACGCCCTCTTCTGCTTTAGAACCCTGTATCCTTCCGTCTTGTAATAATATTAAAGAAAGAAAGAAAGAAAGATTACGTATAATTTAAAATAAATTTTAGTATGTGCAATATGTTTTGGTTAAAGGAAGCAAAATGTCCCTGATATATGTAAAAAAAAAAAAAAAGGGTGATTTCAGCCGTTACAAAATTAATGTCAGTTATTCTTGTTATTTTTCTACAAAACTGTGACGCATTCTCTTCCGTGATCATGTGGGTGTTTTAACATCTGAAGTAAAACAAGTTTGTATACACAGTATGGCGTTCGATCACGTCCATTGTGAACTATATGTGGTTCTCTTAGCCCCGGAGTGTATGCGACCTTATAATCCAGAGGCGTTATCTAAGATAGCCACAGATCATTACGAGTCCATCGAAGCATCTGAGTGTCAGGCCTGAGAGATGGATGCCCCTATTTGGTAATATTTGCTAATGATATGCTTGATCTTATTACTTCAAACGGTTGGCCAAAAGATGAAATAAAGCATGAGCTATGGAACTTGCACTTCATTTTTATGGCGCAGGTATTACAAAAAAGCTTTCTGCTAAAATTTACCGTTCCTATCATCACAATGTAGGGTTTATTATCAGGCTTCTATCCATCTGGTAGAATATTTAGGTGTTTTAGACCCCTATAACTTCAGTACCCAAGTGTAATGCCTGCATCTGATCGTTCTGAATATGCAATTCACCGTAATGTTCACCAATTTCGTTTACTGATGTGCGAGGCGTTTGAAATTTGCCATTAAGCTGATTTATTGAGGCATTGCTATTGTGTTATGAATTCAATCACAATGAATTTACTTTCAGAGAAAGTAAAGCCATTAACAACACCCCAGCTTCTCACTTATTAATGTGGAGAAAGTGTTATGAAATAAAACAAGCAAACAGAGAAAATAATCAATACAGCAATTATGTAGACTGATCTTACGTTTTTATTCACAGATCAAATTCGTGACAATCAGGAATCAAGCGATTCAATTTGTGGACGAAAGGCAGATGGACATGTTGATCTTTGATTTAAAAAACTAATCCTACAACACAGCATTTTCATATCTTTAAAGATATTTTTAAGAACACCTTTTTTCTTTTTTTTTTTATTAAATAGCATTCTTTAAACCATGTTAACCTGTCGATCATACAACCTATATAACCTGCCGTCACCCGGCTGGCAGAAGGGCGTTGGCGCGCGAGCGACTCGAAAACTACATTTCGAATTATTCGCATTTAAAGATTTGTTATATATTTAAACTAATTTCCGTCCCGAAAATGATTTAAAAACTTTAAAAAACTAATAGAAATGTTATAACAGAACACGGCCACAAATTGTGTTCGGAAATAAGTCAGTTTCATAAAAGTTGGAGGCGATTTAGTGCCAACGCCCTTCTGCCAGCCAGGCGACGGAATATAAACGTGTTAGTTTACATGCACTAGTGGAAAACTATTCAAAACAGAAAGCTATTTGATGTTAAGCAAGCTTTTACTTCATCTAATCTTTAGATTGCTTATCCTTTCCATTGTATGTATTACTTAAGTGAAAGGTCCTATATTATGATAATAGTAAATGAAGAAATCGACTACAGGTCGTATTTTGCTACACAATGCTACATCAATAATCATATTATAGCTATAACGCATATTCAGAACTTGTGTGAGATGTTGCTGCATTGTTTATAAATATACATCACTGTAAGTCCTAAATACCTCTTTATGATCTTCCCTCAGTTTTATATACCACAATTTTTACCAATATTACATCTCAACGATTACGAATGCAGTTATAATTTCATATTATCTTACCCGTCTTATCTATCTAATCATGTTAAACACCTCTTTTTTTATTACAGCCAATATTACCAAGTATTAAGTTGCACCAAAGAAGCTGGATGATCTCTGTAATTGAAGTATTAGAATGTAGTTTGTTTGAATGAATAATTTCCATTAATTACGCAATTGGAAGAACATTTTATTTATTCAAAACTTAAAAAAAGCGTATCTAAATCTGCATGACAAAAATTATCAACGGGATCAGCTTGTTGCAGCTGTTTATTGACAAACTTATATTTCATGTCATAAAAGAATAATTTTTGATTGTCATTATGAATATCACAAATTGCAACCATTCAATTACATGCGTAAATAATTATACAAGGTACACTAAAATGTTAAATTATCTCTTTTCTTCCAACTTTGCTCATTTTAAATTCTCGGTTATTGTACAAAAAGAAATAAAATTCAGTCTTTCAAGAAATATTTTTCGATGTCTTCATCTTCTACGTCCATCTCCATGATACTAGGATCATGACTGGGGCATGTAGTCTAGTGAGTCATCTTGAAAGACGCGAAGAATCTATAAAACGGGGGAAAATAAACAGTTTTAAAAGCAGTTTTAAAAATATGGCAAATGAAATAAAATTGATTTGGATTGAGCTTGTTGGCAGCTGTTTATTGACTGCAAGAATCGTAGTTGAAATATTGCAGCAATATCGACCTTTCGTAACATTTTGTAAATCAAGTCATTAAAATGTGAGTGAAGATCAAAGATAATAACAATGGCATTTAAACAAAGAAAACTAATTTTATCGAAAGCATGGGAAAGGGTGATATGTCCGCTACGGGAGTAAGGGTATAGGTTATAATCTGTTTTAAAAGAAAATTAAGGGTATTTAAAATTGTCTGCCTATTAAAGTCTGCTAAGAGATAAAATAATAAAATTGCGGTCAAGAAAGGAATCTGATATTAAATTATCCTGCTGAACTAAAACTGAGCTAAATTTGAAAATTAATATATAAAGGAATTGCAAAATAATAACCCAAGAATATACGGAACAAATAATCAAATAAATGAATAGATGAATAATCAAATCGATAAATTACTCACCGAGTTGATAAACTCTTGTTTATCAATTGATGTCAAGATGGGTTTATTTTGTTGCTGAATGCGAATAGAATCCAAGATGTCTCGGAGAGAGGTTGAAGGTTTGTTTCTTCTACATGGACAGAGAGAGAAAAGATCTGAAATTTTACTCTGAATTTTTTTGATAGGATTATCTATAAAATGTTCAAAGGAGATTTGAAAGCAAGTCGAACCCATATGTTACATTCTCGAAAAGAGGGCATGATTGAAGACGAGACGAAACGTCTGAGAGGGGTATTTAATCGGGCTCGATAGGTTAGGCTTTGTCAGATTAAAATCGAACCAAGGACAAGATCGTAAATTAACAAAGGGGAATATGGCAAACATAGCACTCTCAATTCATAATTCCTGACTCAATTCAAATATATGTTGGATACATTCGTCATGTTTAGAGTATTGCGCACCCGTTTTTAATGGAGGTCTTACTTTAGAGCACATACATAACTTAGAAAGAATCCAGAAAAGAGTATATGAAATCATTTTAGGTGAAAGTTATATGAAAACGCCTTGAAACGATCCCAACTTGAACGATTACAATACAAATAAGGCGAGAAAAATGTTGTATTGTTTTTGACGTATCTCTAATTGAAAACCCACAATGCAATGGTTGGATTCCTGAACCAAAAAAATGTTGGCATGCAATTACGAAATAAACAAAAGTATAGTCAATATAAATGCAAGACCTCTCGTTTTAAACAAAGTGTAATACCATATCTATTGATCTTCTTAATAATTGTTGATTGTTCTAAGTCTTTCCTTACAAACCCACTAGTTTTTTAATTTGTATATTTGAACAGTTGCCTTTTTAATCAGACCAGTATTTTTTCTTTCATGGTTTCATTGTACGATTATGTGAATATGTTTCTTGAATGGATATTCTTTTCTATTTATATGTATCCTCGATAGTTGTAAACATATACATTTCAGGTTTAAGCTGCAGCATATGCATCATTGTATTCTATGTTTTTCGAAATAAACCTTGAATTGAATTGAATTTAACTTCCAGGGTAAGGCAGCAGTTATAATTATAGCATTGGAAGGATCAGTTAACCTGAAATATTGACACAAATTTATGATGTATTTCTTGAACGACAACAAATAAAAACTTGGTGGATCAAAAGACAAGGAGGTAATCTCTAGGGTATTATGAAATATCGGAATAGAAAGTGAGAATTTGCAGCTCCCGAGATGAAATGAATAAAAAAAAAAAGTATTTCGGACCGATAAGGGTCATACAGTTCATTTTCACTTTAAAGGGATAGTTCAGTTCTTTTTTTTTAGACCGCTAATGCCTTTAAAGTGCATTTTTATTGCTCTTATTCATTTTAATGACATTTCTAGTGCTCTGTTATGACCTAAAATTGCTATGCAGGTAATGTTAGACCCCAAAATAGCTGAAAGTTAGCCAATACAATCATACTAATTCAATTCCATATTTAAAAACAATATGGTGACCGTTGATTAATTAATAAAATAATTTTGACAATACACGGGCTGGCTGGTTGTGCTTATTAGAACCAACACGAAAAAGCCAACAAAAAGCCAACATCGTCATTGGCTGGAATAAAACGTTTTTTTCAACGGCTGGTTTAAATTACCAAAATTTGTGGGGCACCACAAATATAATAAATTCTTATATTTATGGATATTTCAGCCGTCTCTGAACCAATTTTGATAAAACAAGGATGATTTTGTCATTTATATTGTATGTTCTTTTAATTTTGACACATATTTTTTCATTATCTCACAAGTTGTTATGTGTAGCGCCCTCTGCAATAAAACTGAATTTTCGCTTAAAGTGGCCAGTTTTTTGTTACTGAGAAGTTATTTTTCGTCATAAAAAGACTGACCTTCTATTTTCTGTAAATCAATCTGCATTTAAGAATACTTCTCTTTTTAAAAAAATACCCCATATTTTTGGTAAATATCTGTCCAAAAATTATGTGTGATTTACATGACAATTGAATCAAGTCACCAATAAGTCAAGAGAATTTTGTATGCGCTGCTTCAATCGAAAACATCATGACGAGTTTCTCTGAAGGGAAGACTCTATGCATACCATTAAGATTTCATCCACACCTTCATGATAAGGCCTAGGTCGTATTTAAGAAACAAAAAGATCAACAAGATTCCTACCTGCGAGTCAATCTATAAATATTAATCCAAAACAAGAACGCAATGCATAAATTTGTCTCTCTTTTTATCAACTGCAAACCACCGTCAGGTGATGAAAGTATATTATAAAAATAGTCTCAAGTTCAGCGAACGGCACCCCGAGTGTAGAGGTATCACATTTTAACCAGAAGAATTTTGACCAAATTTGACGAGATGAATGAGGGAACTTACTAGTGGACTTGATAATCAAGCGTATGTTCCAGTCGTCCGAATTCATGTTCTCATCAATGAGTTATTTAAAGTTTCGTCCATTCAAATACGTTTGGGAGATTATCATCTTTGTTTAACACAAATATTCAGAGTAGCTTTTGTTTGATAGCAAATAAGGAAAAGGCATGAGAATTTAAGTTTGAAAAATCAAAGAATTATGAAAAATAATAGAACAGGTGCGTCTACACGACAATTATTGGTAAAATACCACGAAAAGAAATATTCAGAGTTGCTTTCGTTTATATTTATAAAGCGCAACTCATCCATCTCTAGAGATGCTAAAGGCGCATACAAATAATTTAAATTAATATTCAACATACTTAAGATCAAAGAATATTAAATGTTAAGTTGCATTAGATCACACAACTTCATGGTGGCAAGGTACATACGATGTGCCACAGTGTGATTGTTCGTTTTGCATACATTGTAAAAAAGAACATTGAAATTTAACAATATGCATTGAGCATCAGGTGAGTTTTAAGCCCAGTTTTGAAAGTAGAAAGAGTGTTGACCGTCTGAATAGAGAAAGGTAACTTATTACAAAGAAGGAGCTGCTGATGCAAATGCTCTATCCCCCAATTTCTTTTGGTGCGTATTTCTTTAAGCCTAATATTATGTGTTGAACGTATATCAGAACGACCTGCGGAGTGGGGTGATAGAAGGGATTGAATATATTCTGGAGCTAGATCATTTAGTGCACGATAGGTTAAGAGTAGAATTGTATAGATCACACGCTGTTGAACAGGGAGCCAGTGCAGAGATTGCAAGATAGGAGTGATATGTGATGATCTTCTTGAGTTACCTAATATCAATCAAGAATCGTAAAACTATAGTCTTTTTTTTCTTTTGAAAAGCATTTCCCTAATCTTTAACACCTAACACAATCTAACCATTTTCTTGTGTTTTTCAAATTGTCGTCCTTTGAAGCGTAGACGTACCTGTTCTTTTATTTTTCAGGATTCTTTGATTTTTCAAACTTAAACCCTTCTCTCTTTTCCTTGTTTGCTATCAAAATCTTAAAGAAGACATTGGGGTAAACATATTTTTTTTTTCGATACCGTACGGTAAATACGGCAGATTCCGCAAGAAATTGTATAATTGTATGAACTTTCGTCATGACATTTAAGATATATAAGTTTTTATGTGTATGGTGGTGTGATCCAGATTTCGAAACAAATCAACAAGATGTCCAAAATCTGTCACCATCAATGGAAAGAAGAACTTAAAATTACGCTCTAAAGAAATTTGATACTTGGTAACTGATTCTGAAAGCGAGGATTAAAGATATGGAAAATATAGAGGTTCTTTATCCGTTCTTTAAAAGAAGAGAGAAATTTTCCACAAGGGTCTGGAAATCGTTATATCGAGAGAAGATGTCATCAAATATGTCATGTTTGCATGGCTACATTATTATCTTACCTTTAACAAATCGCAATTTTGGGTTAATAACTCTTGCGCGTGAGGTTTGGAAAAGTTGTTTCAATTAAATTTTCCGATTGGTAGTATGTTGCGATCCGACGTTGAATGTTGAAATCGTGATATCTCCAGAATTCTCAGACAGTCATACTTTTTTATTTGCCCCCATTTGTAATCTAAAGTTTTGGACACCATATCCATAGGTATATGCAGGATTTTGTGATGAGGGGGTTGAAACCAGGCGCACCGGAACCGTCCCATTTTTTAGTTTTTTGTTTTGTTGGGAGGGGGCGGGGCAAACACTCTGGGGGCCCCATCTCGAATGGATTTTCCACAATTTAGCTATGAAATGTAGCTACGCTTATTATCAATTTGTCTTTTCATGATGTATTTTTTGATGCATGTGTATTTCCACTGAGAATAAGGTTTCGAAGTTTTGAAAAATAAGACTGTAAATTCCTCTTTTTTATAGTATTGGATTTGGAATTTCGCTTTGTTTTTTTAACATTTTTTGTATTGCTTCAATACAAAAATGATACATATTTAAAACATAGGAAATGATATATGACAACAATTTCAACGTACAGTATATTTGACAAACAATTGCCAAACAATATTATAACGATTCATTTGAAATCAGGTCCGGAAAAAAACCCGAGTCATACATACAAAAAAAAGGTTTAACCAAATATATAATCATGAAGTTATTAAGGTGTAGAACGAAATTAATCCCCATACCCCCAACCCCTACATTATACAAGGACACTTCTCACTGATTCCCGGTTACACTGGAGAGTGGAGAGACGGGGAAAGAGAGAAGAAATAGAAGAGAGAAACTGCAGCTGCTGTTTTTATTCATAATGTTTTTGTTTCAGCATGGTTTTTGCATATTTACAGTCATTATTTGAGACATAACATAACCAATACAATTGAGTATAATTATAGTATAATTAAAGTATAATAATACTTGTTTAATTCATTTGTTCTATTAATTATTATATATTGAAATACTGTATGGTTTATATATGTCATGTTGATTTGTGGATTTTGAGTTGAAAAATAAATCAAATCAAAATCAAGTTTATTATTACAAAAAATGCTTTTGTTAAATTGAAAAATGTTATCAAGTAGACACAACGGATTTTCACAGTCTACTTCAAAATAAAAATACACATAACAATATAAAACGTAAATTATGCTAGCATCCACAGTAAGATATTTTGTTTTGTGAGAGGGGTGGTAAAAAAAAACGTTCAATTTGTTTTCATTTGAGAGAAGCATCGATCTTCTTATCTAACCCGCTTCAGGCGCATATTATGGTAGACATGGTTTTGTATAATTACAAGAAACATTTGTCTATTAAAATGCGAGGCCATGTTGCGACCGCACGGGAAAAATAGTAGTTTTTAAGTTTTAACTGTATAGCCATACTGGAAAAGTTGTTAAATACAATAATGACGATAATTGTGTTGTTGTCTTGCAAGCCGAACGGAGGTTAAACGAGTTAGCTTTCTCCCCCTTTATATAGAAAGCTCTACCCGCACACTCATGGCCTTGGCGTAGAACGTTTCTACGTTACTTCTGTTAGTATGAGAGGGAGCTTACAAGCGATTGAGTGAGAGATACAAAATACATATTGGAACGAAGAAACTCTGTATATTAAAGCACTAGAAATGAGGGTAGTACTGCAAGTTGATTAATGTCATCAATCATGTATTCCTGCGAAGGGACGGGGAAAATCTTGATCACTTCGTATAGCATAACACGAACACCTGACTTCAACCCCCCCCCCACGCTTTTGAGGATCTTTCATTGAAATTTCTCTCACGATGGCCCCATTCAGGGGATCAAATTTGATTACAGCAAACAAAAAATCCAATCATTGCATATTGCATTTTTAAAAAATCTTTACAGAACTACGAAAAGCTTATTATTATACTGCAAAATAGTGCCTTGTAAAGGAGAACAAACAGTATAGCCACCTCCTTGAAAGAGAGAATCATCTGTGTCCTCGATTTTTCTGGAAAAAAGGTTCATCTTCATGAATATGCGAGCGAGCAAGCGTAGCGGTCAAAGGAGAAAACCCGATTTTTAAATGTTGACACACCTCTCAAGGTCAAGATATTAACTAAGACATAAAACCATGTTTCTTGACTAAAATCGACCGATTGGCTATTTCCGTTTGGAAATTATATATCACAATAACATATTCTGAGATTTTCATGGTCGCAGCGACAATTGTATGGCCGTAAGCGCTATTTGAAATTGTTATATTTAATTTTACTCGAAAGCAGGAGTGTTTTAGGGGCTAAATTTTCTAGTGATTATAATACATCCACAGGGGCATCTAAATATATCAAACTTGTAAAGAATCACTATCCAGCCAATTTTCAAAATTTCCCAAAACTTTGTATTACCTTTAAGCATGAATCGACTTTGGGGGATCAAAAATCTTTCTGCCCTTGTCCTTTGATAATGGAAGCATCTGCCCCCTTGAAAAATGTTGATTTTAGAATGATGAAGGTTTTCATTTTAGAACACTTCTTATTATACATCGCTGTAATCCAAAACAATTACTTGATATTTTCCTCTCTTTTTCCTTACGAGGGGGATCGGTCTGGCGTTTCAACCACCCTCTAGTGGAGTGGTTTCGGCGGTTTAACCCCCCCCCCCTCCCCCTTGGGCGGCCAAGTGAGAAAAAAAAAAAGAAAGAAAGAAGAAAAAAAGTAAAACAGTAAAACGGCGGGATTTTTTGAGAATCCTGGATCCGCCACTGGGTCCCCCCCCCCCCCCTTGGCAAAAACTTAGATCTTCCCCTGCCTTGCATAATATTTCTTCCACTTTTCACACTAGTTTTGCCTCAAAATTAGGTGATATCAAATGTAAAACTCATTGTAATTTTGCTCGAATATTTGATAATCCAACCTACAATACATTTGACGCTCAGATTCCTATACATTAGCTTAAAATTGACGTAATTTACTCGCCATTTGCTAATTACATGAAACGAAGACTGAAAAATATGTTGCTTCTTTTTAATATCAGGCCCTATGTCCAAATGATGAGTTTTTATACCAGTGCAATATCTTATTAGTTATAAAGAGTACCATGTTTATTTTGAATTTGTATTTTGTATAATCTGGTATAGCATACCGTGTTTTAATTGATCTGTGTACAAACATTGAGAAGGAAATCTCAACATCAAAAATCTTCTAACTCACTCCATGCATTTTTTTTCCTCTTATCCTCAAGCGAGGTTTTTTCTCCATAACTTCAATTCATATTTACATTAATTACTCAATGATTGAGTAAAACATAACATAGTTTAAAAAATTAAGTATATTCAAACATTAAAGTACATCTCACTCCATCCATGATATTGTTTTGTGCTTACACCCCGCCCGCGTCATATATACCAAAAGACGTTAAAAGACGGGAGTTGCTGCTGCCTTGTTTGGCGTTCAACAATAAGCGATAGAGCAACGTCGATCTGGCGCTGCTCAGTGGCTGCCGGGCTCACGATCAATTGGGCAAAAAGAATTTCCATTTTCGGTTTAACTTAATAAAATTTGGAGTGGACTTTAAAAGATTATTATTATTATTATTATTATTATTATTATTATTATTATTATTATTATATTTGATACGCCACTTTCAGAACATGTTTACCCATTCATCGTCTCTTACCGTACTTTGATTTGTAAAAAAAAAAATCGTTTTATATATGAAAATATAATTTAATGAGAACATATTCAGCTTTTAAAAGAAACTCTTTGAGTCTAAATAGGCACAATTTCTTCCTTTAAATGTTGCCTATCTTTGTTGAAACAATGTGACTTTAAGCTAAGCTTTCTGATATATTTTTAAATCATAGAACTTTACAAGAAGCTTGAGTTTCATTACTTGGGAAATTTCAGGATTCTAATAAATTTGTTGAGGTTCAAAAAGGTATCATGATATTTCGATATCTTCTATGATTTTTAAATGAAATGATGCAGGAATCTATAGTAATACTCACTTCATTAAAGATTCCATGCTCTGCAAACAATGATAACATCCGGGTCTTGATTGAAAACTGACGTCATTCCGACACTGACCACAACCTGTAGCATACAATAGTATCGTAATTTAAACATTATTAAATGTAATTATGTATCTTGGAAAATTTGGATTCTTGAAAATAGTCGAGTACATGTCTATTTTCATCAGTTACAGTACCACTGAGTCTATAAGCGAATCGAGAATTGAGTACATGTATATACCATACGGAAAGTTCTTATTACCTTTTTGTTAATTGACTATAAGGGACACCGCCTTGTACCATCTGGAAAAGGCGCTATTTAAATCCATTCAAAGACATTATCATGATTATTGTCATATTCTTTTTGTACAAAATTTGTTTCACGACATTTAGCTTCATAAATTGATTTGTAAAGATATTACATACACAATTAAAAAAAATTAAAAAAGAGGCTATCCAAACAGCATTTTGCAGTGAAATGGTTCAGGATTTATTATGGAACGGTAAACTTTCCTTTGCTGCTTAGTGACAACTATATTGATAGAAAACGACCTTTTATAGCGTTTTTAACAAATGATTAAAAAAATGTTGATGTTTAAAAATGAATACTTCCATATGGTTATACGACGAACCTTTTAAAGTACCTTTGCTACACGAGCCCACGAGAGTCCTCCTTAAAGAAATATAAACTCCCTTGCCGCATCTGGATTTCAGCCCACACGGCTTCAAATGATATAGATCGAGCTGATTTTATTTTCGGTCGGATGCCCAAGACTACACTATAAATGTAAATTTTTCATATCTGATTTTAGTCACTCTGATCTTTGAGCTCACATACGCATGACACATTTTTACAAATTATTTAATGCAGTCAATCACATTTGTTTCATTCAGTTGAATCAGCTAGGTTGGATTATATATTTCAGGGTGTTACAGAATCTACCACTGCCCCCAACCCCCTTGTTGAACACCACCATCACCACCATCACAATCATTACCACCATCACCATCATTACTTCCATCACCACCATTACCACCATCACCACATTTAACATTTACATTTACCCTACACTCAAAGGATCGTTGATTAAGAATTAAAAAAATTAACACCCTCTCTCTTCTGATTATCCTAGAGCCGACTCTACAACTTTATCTGACAGGGTAAGAACTTTGTATTTTCTTTTAATGAAAATAGGCTACTGTTTTGTTTTAATGTTTCCATTTCCTGAATAGAAATGTTTTTCTTTCTTTAAACATTATACTTAATTTTTTTTTAAGCGAACACTCTGCTGCATATGTTCGAATGCTATCTACTTCCAATAAGTTTTTTTAAATTTATGTATTTATACCCATGCCCGCTTTGCACGTTGTTCACTCGGTAAACCAATGAGGCAAAAGCCCTGCAATAACAAATCCTTGTACAAATATGATAACGAATAAAAAGTCCTTTTCATAGCTTTGATGCTTTTTATATAATTCAAAGTTTGACTCACAAATCGTCAATGACGAATCGTGTTTGTTTTTTTTAGATACAAAATACTCTTGTTTTTTAATTAAAATTTACCATGCTGTCATCAATTGGTGAACTTCGTTTTAATAATCCATTTTCTGGGAATCAAAGATTCAATTTTCATCTTTTAACGAAACATTTTGTCTCATTTAACGAAAATCAGCTTTAACGTCTGAATGGATATCACTATAAACAAGTGATATAAACAATAAAACGTCTAATTTCGGAACTAAAAAAAAAAAAGATGATACATGTGAAGGCAAATGACATATCGTGCACCTTTAAATGATATTTCAAAATATAAAAAATGAGAAAATGAAAGTTAACCTTATGCATACTTACTCATTCCACTAGCGATTCTCAAAACAAACACAAGAAGAAAAAACATCGTCACGATTTCTGCAAAAAATTTGGCCATCTCTCTATAGATGAAACGATCTGGCAAGAGCTGTGTTTCTGATCGAAATGGCCTTGTATTGTCTCTTGAGTTGCTTAAAAGAAAAGGAAACAGCTGTTTCTGAAGAAGTAAAACTCAGTTCTGGTCCGCTCTTTTCTGCTCAGAAATCGCTGAAGATTATCGATAAGTATTTCCCTAAGAGCGTATTGATTTATTTCAGGACAACATGCTGCTGTTCATTGTTAGGTAAAGCTTACGAGCATAAATAGGATTTCTTTTTATAACGTATTCGCAGCGGAAAGAAAATTAAGATGCTCTTGGAGATATTTCGAAATGCGACTGATCAGGATGAAATTTGAAAACGATCTGGTGTTCAAACTTTAGAAAGCCGTTTACTTTGGTATGGTCTAGATATTTCTACGGAGTATTTTCTAAGTAACTAAATGAAAGTGAAAAATATTTGTTAACTACTGCACAGAAAAGTTATTAATCATACTAAATGATTCAGGGTGAAGAGTGATGAAATCTTCTCGCTGACGCCAAAAACGTAACGCATTACTGATCATTTTACTTCAATTATCCATCAAGACTTGCATTTATTATGAGTTTTGAAGTTGGATACAACCAATATTAAGATTAATTTCCTTCGTTTTCTCTACTGGAGAAAGCTGACGTAGGACACGACGTTTGTAACATTGAGTTTTTATGATTGAGTCAATTTATTTTAGAACAGTTTATAGTAATCTTGTCCTCAAGTTTTAATTACTTGGTCCTTGTTCTTATTATTTAACTCTTTTAATATACTTATTCTCGGTTTAGTGTGAGTCAAATCTATATCTTAATAACTTGCAGATAATATATTTGAGCTGTTATCTATCAAATTAAAACCCTGTTATAATTTCTCATAGTTTAATTTTTTCATCTCTGACGATTATTTACTTACATTCAAGACAATTTAAATATTTTCTTTTTCTTTTGTCGCTTGTTTTATGCTGTCCACAGGGTGTTTAGAATTTGTAATTAAAAGATTAAGAAAGAACTGTTGGGTCCAGTTGTTTGTTTTCTAAATCAATTTTGTCTTTATTAATGTTCCAAGAGTATACAAAAGACATGCTGAATCAAAATGACTGAAACAACTTCGAAAAGTAAATTATATTTTAATTCCATCGTATTTTCATGTATACCATTCTTTTATCTTTTCCAATATTGTGTAAACAAATGAAGATTTTTTTTTAAAGACAAATAGGTGAAAAGTACTATAATGTTTGTATAGCTATATAATCTCCGATCTCCTTATTTATTTGACTTTCTATTTACTTTTCAGGTATTGACATTTAGAAAAAATGGAAATAATCAGAATTACACTTTGTAAGAGTTACTACCATACAGTTACAACATTATTGTTATGATTCAGTGAAGGCATTTTTAAGGACAACCACGATGGGCCATTCCCCATTTCAGTCCCTGGTCTACACACTTCTAACTCGATTGTCAATTTGATTTCTTTTTAGTTCAAAACTCTATTTTGGTCAAACCCAGATTTAAAATGAATCATATTCTTCATACCAAAGGCGGGTGTAATATTTAAGTATCTTACTCGCGCTTATAATGAAAATTAAAATTATGATTCAGTATCTTTTGTCCGTTCTGAAATTGGTTTACACTGGAATAGATTTTTTAAATGAATTGACAAAGAGAAATAATTGTAGGCAATTTTACAATGCATTATAATAACTTTTATGTGGGAAAGATGCATGAAAATCTGTTTTTATAAGAAGAAGATGTGTTAAAGACAGATGTTAGATAGTGGAAGAAGTCTAATTCCGAATGAATCATAATACCATTTCATCTTAGCTGGTAGAAGCTTTGATGATTATGCGAGAAACCAGAAACTCTATTTTGAGAACCCAGATTTAAAGAATAAAAACGATCGATCTATCCTTCAAAACAAGTGCAATATATGTGTATCTTATTCGTCCTCGCACTTTCATAATACGAATGGATCATAATATCATCTTTGCACTTTACATTCTTCAATGGTAGTGTCAGTGACAGCATTGATCGTGATTAAAATAAACACATAAACATGGCAGGTGCCAAGACGAAACAGGAATTACTGTGTGTCTGTATGCGTGGGGGAATGTGTGCGTGTGTGTGTGTGTGTGGGAGAATGCGTATGCATGGGCGTGCGGGCATGGCACTAGAAGGTTTGGGCTAGGAAGATATATAGATTTCATGTGGAGTTATACATTGGGAGCAGGACCGACGTATCATCTTCGTTGAACTCGACACCTGACTTGCATTTAGATGAAGTTAACACACTTTGGTTTGTAGATGAGGTGCATGATCTAGCAATATCCTCTAAATATTCAATTATTATTCACGCATTCTTACATTAGGCTAATACGAGCAGAGATATGGCCAGGGAAGGTAAGAGACATTAGATACCAAAAGATGACACCAAGATAAATAGAACAGAAAAATAAGACATTAGTGGCTAGTTGATATAATTCTGTGGGTGTTTAAAAAAATCTGTAGTTCAGTTTAAAAAAAAACCAATTATTTAACGTCTGATAAAAGCCGGGATTAATCTTTAAAGATGCCTAATCTGCAAATCAATTTTTCTGTTGCGAGGCGGTCGAGTGGACAAATCTATTGCGTGAAACACGATCAAATCGTGTCAAATATTCAGAAGGGTTACAATACATCTTTCTCTTGCCATCATTCTCAAAATCAATTTACTTCCTGAAAAGGTCAGTTGGTCAGACATAGGCCATGGGTAAAAAGGGGAAAATGAAAACAAGAGGTGGCGGGAACGGAGTGTTTAGTGTGTGTGTCATTTCCGAGGAGGGGGAGGGGAGGTGTGTGAGCTTCGTGAAGGAAAAAACCGAAACATTAGATGCTGATCGCTGTTTGGTCGCTCCGCAAATTTAAGGCAATGCTTACGTCATACTGAGAAAAGTCGACCAGAATGAACGTCACAGTCAGTGCTCTTCGGAGGTGCATGCAGGGTTGGGGTCGTTTTCCCCATCCCTCCCGCCCATTTGGTCTGCCGATCCACCAGTCATTACCATTTCGCTCTGTCTCTTTCGTCTCCCCATGTCCACTCTCTCTCTCTATCTCTCTCTCTCTCTCCTCTCCTCTTCTCTTTTTGTTTCTCTTCAAACGTCTATCTTTCTTCCTGTTTCTCTAAGTTATTTCTTCCTATCTCACTTATTGATATCTAAGATGCGTTGTTTATGAAATGGTGAATGTTTTGTTTTTGCAATTACATGTCAATATCGAGACCAAAGTTATAAAGTATTCCAAATCCCGCTTGTGTTGTCTTGTTCTAAAAAAAAAAGTTGACTAGTTGTGTACGTCGCCACATCATCTTTCTCTTCGTCCTCCTCTCCTCCTCCTTCTCCTCTTCATCTTACTCCTCCTCTTCTTCTTCTTCCTCCTCCTCCTCCTACCACTACAACCATCGCCACCACCACCAATCCCTACTACCACTATAACTACTACCACTTCCATCACCATCAAAATCAACACCATTGCACGACGACTCCTGTAGCTACTATTGTGTTTCCCCTTTTTATATTTTCTGTTTTTCCTTTCTGTCCTTGTCATCTCTTTTTCATTATTTCCTTTTATTCGCCCCCACTTCTGAGATCACTTCGGTTTAATTGCGCCTCTGTTCTGCACCCTTTTCCGAACTCCGCTATGCGTGACTTTTCTATCGAGTGGCTTGTCTTTCTGGTTGGCATGGTAATCAGTCAGCAAGCATGTCATCCCCCCTCTTTTCGTGAATATTTTATGAAGATCCCGTCCGTGATTAGTACTAAAAGCCCCGCCGGGCTCAAACGTCGTGATGGAGATTGCCCCTGTATCAGAATCCTCTTTTTTAAGCAGTCTATTGGCATCATTACTTTATTGAATTTAACGGAATAATTTTGATGTAGAAAGAGAGAACGGGTTACAACAAAAGAGATAGAGACAAAGTATCAGATAGACAGAGAATGACGGAGAGAGAGAGAGAGAGAGAGAGAGAGAGAGAGGGGGGGGGGGGGCAATGGGGGAGCATGTGAGGGGAAAGGAGGAGTAGAGACAGATGAAGGGTTGGCATTTTATTTTAAATTGTTATTACAAGATAGAAAAAAAGATGAAATACCGTTATAAACTTTATGGGTTTATGCATAGAATCAAAATAATGTTTAATCAGTGCGAGAGAGAAAGAGGATGAAAGCTTAAAATTTAAAATGAGTGAAGCCAAACGAGCTCTTTTAAATGAGTAGAATAGATAATAACGAAAAAAGGCTGACTAAAGGAAAGCGCTATATACAGTATTACGACTGAACTCGGGGGTATGGGAGAGCTATAGAGTGATCGTAGAACTATACTTTCCTCCCATTGGCTATTAATACAACCAATCATGGAGAAGTGCGGGGACACATCAAAACGCACACCCACGCACATAATATGCACACTAGATTCCGAAATCTATATACCCGATTATCCTGACTCCGTCTCTGTTTGTCTGTCTCTCTGTCTCTCTGTCTCTCTGTCTCTCTGTCTCTCTTTCTCTCTCTAACTCTCTATCTCTCTCTCTCTCTGTATGTCTGTCTGTCCCTGGTGTCTGTCTCTCTGTCTCTGTCTCTCTCTGTTTCTGTATGTCTGTCTTTAACACCATGTTTCTCTCTGCCCCATCTTCTTCTCTCTCTCTCTCGTGTCCTTTCTCTTCTATTTCAAAAAATTATTTGGGATTGAATGTCTATTAATTATCACTTTTATTCCATTAAAATATTCTGAATCATACGGTAACTGTTTTTAAAATCATCCGCTGGAAATCTGTCCAAGACTGCTTCCAAATTTATCCTTTCTAAAAACCAAAGATGAGATAAACAACGCATAAATCATTAAGAACAAATTGGTCATTGTTTCGTTTGTTAATTTGTTAACGGTTGTTAGTTTTGTTAACTTGTTAGGCATCATTATTGTTTCAGAAATAAAGAAAATCATCTTTAAAATCTTGTAAGAACAACAACAAAACTAGTCTGTGTCATGTTTAGGAGCACATATTTCAAGCACTTTGTCTATAAAGAAAAAATAATGAAATGTATTTAAAGAAAAACAAAGGTTTGAACGGTCCTCTTGAAACGAATTTGTCTTTCACTTACTGGAACTCGTATTTACATGAAAATTTTGCATAATTGTGGACTAAAAATTGTCGATCGGATAATGGCTTTTTATAACTGTATCTACATTATTTCAGAGCCATTTTTGAAAAACCAATCAAGGCCAATTTCGATACGCTAATAATATCCCATAAAATTTAATTAAATTATAATAATATGGTTCAGGAATCAGTCAGATCAGTTTTTCCCAATTTTTGGTCTGTTTTCACTCAAACTTTCAGACTATCTTTAATTGTACATTTAGCATTGAAGTCCCTACTTTAGCACCATTTTCTCTCATTTGAACAATTTTACCAAGTCCCTTTAAGATGTAGAATAAAATGATTTAACGCAAGACCGCCATGTTCGATATTTAATAAGATTTATAAATTTTTATATTTATAGCAGTAGATTATTATTATTTGGGTTTTCATATCTTATATCTTCCTGTATGATGTTTTGTGAGGTTATAATTGTACATCTTAAGTTTACTAGTATATCTTAACAAACATTTGCTTATTACTTATAGATTTTGTGTGTGTTTGCTGTAACGCTATATGAAATAGCCCTTCTATTTCCCTATTTCATTTAATATTGCTACCCCGTAACGTTAACCTTTTAAAGAATATTTCAATGAAACGTGAAACAATAAATTGGTATCTCTTTTTTTGATCACTCATCATTAATAACATAAACTGACTTTACGTTAAACAAATATTTTATATGAAAATAACAAACAACACTTTTATGAAATACTTTTACTTTTAGTTGTCGTCATGTTGATGGGAAGAGGGAGAAGGAAATTCTTGTTTCCCAAAGTATTTTGGCCTCAGTTTTCGTATCTAACCCATGAGATTTGGACTTAAGATCCCAAGCTATCATAGTAATGAAAGTAACTCGTCAGCTAATCCACAATCCCGCTTGGGTGCGCTGCTTGCAAAAGAAATGTCCGCGTTGTATGATTCGGCAGCTTGGGAAATTGACTTTGATCTTTTAAATTATAGCGATGAATAATACTTTCTTTTTCAAATGCCCATTTTATTGATATTTCACTTATCTTTTTATGTTTAAAAGCATAAAACTCTTGAATTATTCATAAAGTAAAAATAAAATCATTGATTAAAGAAGGAAAATCCACAGGAGGATAAAGATAAATGTTCACGTCATACCTCTAAACTAGCCATTTTTGCATTTTTCTCGCAATGAGCATTTCTTCAAAATCCAATCCTCCCATCAACATGCTTGAACCTTGTCTGCCGGAAGTAATCAAGCTCATTTCGCTGACTCCTCAATTTATATTGAATGGTATTTTATAAATCCATTGTAAAACATAATGTTTAACTTAAATTATCTTACAGCACAATCGCAGCTATTACTATTCCAGCAATCATATATTCACTTAGAACACAAATCATGCCAACCATATCATAGATTCTCTTTATTCCTTTGACGACATGAGCCCCATTTTACAAAACTTGTCATTGGTGACGAATGACAAGTTTTTCTTACAAGCTAGTGAAATCCTTGCTTCTCATTGGTTATCGGCAGATTAGTTACTGATTTGTCTCATTTTTCATTGAAAAGGGGCTTTGTAAAACGCAATGCTGAATAATTCCTGACATTTTAATAATTTTGACTAATTACGTGTCTGTCTGATCATTAGGAAGACATATGATTACCAGGGCAAGGTCTTAAAGAAATTTGCGATTTATCGCAACTTGTTGGCGATTGATTTCAATCGCAACTATGTACATTAGAGATAGGGACTACAAACTTGCGATTGATTAGATGACCTGCAATTGATTGGGATCAATCGGAACTCATGTTTAATAATCATAAAACGTATAATTATATTTTGAATAAATAGAAAATATCGATTTAGATGACCTTCTATTCGTCATCGTAATAAAAAGAGGTTGATCAATCGTACCTGAATGCATATTCAAGTATTTAATGTATAAATAATAGTAAATAGACTCACTTCGCAGGAGGGGTGAGGTGTGGGGGGGGGTGGCAATTTCTCTCCTGATAGATTTCCGATGGTCTGTATTAGCAACTTCCTCTCTACCATCAAAAGAAAACAAGGAACTCCCGACTTGGATAGAGCCTCTTTTGTAGACAGAATTGATAATAAAAAGTTATCAGAAAGTTCACGAGACCAACTTATTTTAGGTTGGAGGTGGTCTCATTGCACCTCGGTCTCCAGGGTTTTCGGTCTCATGGACTGTCGGTCTACCGGAACGGTCGATCTGGTTGGTTGCTGGTCTCATTGCCCGTCTGTCTACAGGGTTTTCGGTCTCATGGACTGTCGGTCTACTGTAATGGTCGATCTCGTGGTTTGTTGGTCTCATTGCACCTCGATCTCCTAGGACGTCGGTCTTATAGACTGTCGATCTACTGGAATGGTCGATCTTGTTGGTTGTTGGTCTCATTGTACCTCGGTCTTCAGGGTTTTTGGTCTATATGGACTGTCGGTCTACTGGAATGGTCGATCTGGTTGGTTGTTGGTCTCATTGAACCTCGGTCTACCGGAACGGTCGATCTGGTTGGTTGCTGGTCTCATTGCACCTCGGTCTCCAGGGTTTTGGGTCTTATTGACTGTCGATCTACTATAAGGGTCGACCTCGTGGTTTGTTGGTCTCATTGCCCGTCGGTCTACCGGGTTTTCGATCTCATGGACTGTCGGTCTACTGTAATGGTCGATCTCGTGGTTTGTTGGTCTCATTGCATCTCGGTCTCCAGGGTTTTCGGTCTCATGGACTGTCGGTCTACCGGAACGGTCGATCTGGTTGGTTGCTGGTCTCATTGCCCGCCGGTCTCCCGGGTTTTTGGTCTCATAGACTGTCGATCTACTGGGTTTTCGGTCTTCTGGAATGTCCCGAGTTTCCTATCTTCACACCATTCAATAGGTTTTAATAAAGTAAAAACAAAATCGTAAAAGTATTTTTATTTCCGAAAAAATAATACTTTCATTCGAGGTTGTGGAATCTTTTTGGATTCGCATATAGGCTTTTTGTTTGGGGGTGGGGGTTAAGATACAAATATGTGAAACTGTGAACCTATATCGGAGTATTTTGTGTCTTTTGGCGCAATTGCTCTTCAAAGTCTTTGTAAATGTAGGTTATATATTCCCTGTTTACACGATGGGTTTTGAGTTTTGTGCATCTAGGGTGAATATTTGTCTTAATTTTCGAATCCCACACTTCAACAACAATTACAATATTTTGTTTGTTTCGTAAAGCTTAGGGAAGAATTTTCATTGTTATTCGACGACGATTAATGCAGTTATAGGATGATTATCTTTGATTTATTTCAGGGGGGAAACAAGTAAAAAGATAGAAAAACTGGGCACGAATATATAACATCTCTAAGAATATCTGTCCTGATATTATGATAAATTATTATATTCATTTTTATACAACAGGGATCAGTGCGCGGGGAATACTAATCCACTTGTTCCAGAAAAAGGGTAATTACGATTGCCATTTATTGGACAGTACCCCCACGGTTTTTGATCAATCAAGTAAAACAAAAATCCCTTTTTCTTCACTACTGTTTGGTGTGTAACGTACTACGGTAGGATGCAGCTTTAAGTCTACTGTCAAAGGTCGAGAGAAGACGCTCTATATCAAGATGGTATCAATGCCACTGGGAGTATCAAAACCGAGAGAAATTGTACCTCAGTTGATAATGAGCTCAAGTTCTTGCGACTTCTTTTATTCATTGACAACTCGACGAACCATTTCACTGATTTTATCGGCATTGGATTAATATTTTTACCCCCTTGCTGTATTTGAATGAGCGGTGGGTTACAAGAATCGAATGGCGTAAAATAATGATGATAACGTCTTGAAACAAACTAACGAGTTTGACATACTTAATCCTTCTTGATGAGGGGCACGTTTTCTTTCATTTGACTTGCGTACAGAAATTAAGACATCACTTGAATTTTGAGAGGAGAAATACAAAGTGTCGTGTTGCACGGAAAAAAAACGGTATAAAAATCCGCGTCGCATGCCTTGGGCGATTCCATTCTTATTTGAAGAGGACTGGTTACTTGGTTGCTCAACAATATTCCTTGGCAGACGAGACCTTCCGTTATGATTGCCGCCATTTCTATCCGAATTTCAAGTTGACATTCTAGTGGCCACCCTGTTCTTTCATTAAAGTTCGTATGCATTTTTGGACACCAAGTGAGTGAGGGTGTATGACAAATTTCGACGTTTGAATAAATCGTTGTAACGTAAACTGTTTTCCTTCGACTTTTCTCAATAACCATGAGAGTGCTTCCGATAATATTTGTGGTAGCATTTGGTACCAGTTGCCTATGGCTAGATACGGCATTTGCTTGCAGAATCAAAAGTAAGTATTACTGTTTATTATCGATTTGAGTAGTGGTATTAAAGTTTTCTACTTTTTAATTTGAAAATTAAGAGGTTCAAACCACATTCAATTAGGGCTTCAATCTATAGTGCCTACAAACATCTTACAATTGAAAGAATGGATGCCAAGTGCCCCAACAAAGCATTACTACTACCACGGTTTTAGAAAAGTTGCCAAAAGGAGCTTAAATCTTTCAAGGATCTGTTTCTACCAGGTTCTAATTCACTATCACTGGGTGGCAAAGTGGTGGAGAAAAAAAACACCCATGTTTTATTGTTTTATACGTAGGCATATTCATTGTTTAAAGCGTTGGTGTTGGCTTTTAACAGAAACTTGGTTTCATTGCGGTAATTCTCTCTAAGTCGTTTACAGTAACCCCAGTGGCGAATGCGGCGTATCTTAGGCCAAAAAAATCATTTGGTTGTTCTCGATTGCTTTTCTGGAGTAGGGGCGAGCGGGCGTTTTTTTTTTTTAATTTCATTTTTGGGGGGATTTTTTTATTTCCCCCCCCCCCTATTTTGGGGGGATTTTTTTTATTACATATATTTTTCCATTACAAAAAAAATAAAAATCATTGGGATGTCAAGCATTTAAACAAACGAAGTCAATAAAACACTTTAATATGGTAAAAGACTATTTTTTATGACAATGAATATCAAGACCAACACAGAAAGTATGTTTTGCTTTGAAATACAGCACCTTTTAAATCCCCACTATACTACTTATAGCTACTTATAGCCCTCTATATAGCAAACAATGCCTAATCGGTGACCATTGGTCCCCCATGATCCTCTTTATCTTATGTTAACTGAGAGCTTATATGATGAGATAACCACCAGTCCAGTGAATTTGCAGGGTGGCATAATCCCTTCTGTAAACTAGTACAGATGGGTTTTAAAATGAGTTGAAGAATGCTCAGAACCTGATTTGAATGAACGGCATTTTGACATAGAAAAATAAAAATGGCAATTTAATAAATACAGAATTGTGCGTACTGAAAAGTCCAAACTGGCAACGGGACGGATTTTGATCCCTGCAAAATGCATAAATTAATATGTTTGGCGTTTAAGAATGCTCCCCCTAAAAAAAAATTGAATAATAATTAAAAAAAAGATATATCAGTGGTCCGAAAATGACGAGCGGGCGGTCGAGGACAACCAAATGATTTTTTTTTTGGCCTTATGGCACCCGGGCCAATGAAATTGCGCCATATTTTTGTAATTTTTAACCCAACAAAATGCAATTTCTTATGCACTTACCCATATAGAAATTCGCATGAGAGCTCTGAAATCATAGAAATATGGGCATTCTGTTTATAATTCAGGAGTGAGCAAAAAGAAAAATGTTCATTATAGCAAAATTTTAACTTTGACATTCAAATTCAAATAACTTTGAAATTCAATCTTGCCACCTTCTTGCCTAAATATTGGAACTTGAAACATAACAAATATATCGGAACATAAAAATTCTGGGCTGAAAACGAACAGGGCTTCGATTGTTGAACATTATTATGAGAGTTGGGTACATGTAGTTTTCTATTTACTTCTTTCTCAAACCGTAATTCATTTTTAGATTTAGAATTATGTTTTTTTTTCTTCTTCCTTTCCTCCCTTTTTGTGTGCGGCCCTTCAAGTGCCGCCCGGGGCACATGCCATCCCCATATAGATACGCCATTAATTCACGCCTGTCCTCATCGGCTCGAGATTGCCATATATCCAGCTATTTCAACTATCCCGATCGCAAATTGTCTTCATCAGCCCGAAGTTGCAATTAGCGGGATATTTGGTCGGGATAATCATCCCAAGATATCTTGGGATAGTTTGCAAAATATCCCACTATTTGGCAAAATATCCCGCTATTTGTCTGGTGTTTCCCCGCCCCCCCCCCCACTCCGTGGTAGGAGGGATACCATGCGTGTTACCAAAATGTCCGGTAGAGGGTACTTTTCACGCACCAAAGTCCGACTCGTAGTACACAAAAGCCCGTTTTACACACCGGACTAAAGCTATGGTCACAAATCAGAACAGCGACCGACCGATCAGTAGCCTGCTCGGTCGCTGCTGGAATTAAGCATCGCCCAGCAATTAGGTCGGTGCCCGGGCGGCGACCGCCCAGGCACCGAGCGTATTTTGGGCGGCGAGTGAAAAATTAGCAGGCGCCGCCCAAATTTTAACTCCGCGCTAAAACTTCAGCGGCGACCGAGCGATGCCCTAAAAACGAGCGGTGTCTGGGCGGCCGCCGCTCGGTGGCCGGGCAGCCGCCGGGCAGAATTGGTTAAAAACTCGCCGCTCGGCCGCCGAGCAGCCTACTTTTGGGTAATGTGACCATAGCATTAGGGGGTGTTTTCAAAAGGAGGGAACATGCATGCGTACCCTAAATAACACTGAGTGGGGGGGGGGGGGGGGGACGGGGTGCTTCCTCACCAGCCCGAAGACTCGCACTGTGCGCGAACGCTTAGCAAAATATCTCGAGCTAATTGCAACTACGGGCTGATGAATACGCAAACTAACTGGATAATTTGCGATCGGGATAGTTGAAATAGCGGGATATTTGGCAATCTCGAGCTGATGAAAAAGCGATTTGTAACTTCGGGATTATTTCCCAAATCAGAAATAGCGGGCTATTTGGTAATCTCGAGCTGATGAGGACGTGCAGTGAGACACTCATCACGGGCATTTTAGGTAATAAATAACCTTTTGGATTAGATGTTGAACTAATGATAAAATATAATGAAATCGAAATTTTCAAAATGTTCACATTGCAGAAATGGTTACCAGAAAACATAATGTATGAAAGCTAGCCCTGTCAACTCACTCACAAAATGGACAGACATACATGTTTGTTGTCTAAACTACAGCATGAGCATAACAAGGCTCATATCAAAAAAGTTTGGAGACTTTAAAGATTTTAAACAGGAACATCCAGGCAGACCAACAGTCCACCAGATTTATAATATTCGTTCAGTGAAAATCCTAGGAAAGTTGCCCAGAAGGCGATTGTGACTATCTTATCGGTCTCGAAAGCGTTATCCTCTTGGGCCTATACGGTATCAGTATCATGTACTGTCGATCGCTAGAACCCTCACATAACTTTTCAGAAGACCCAAGAGGAGAGAGACGGGGTGGTGAGAGCTTCACTCCACTGGTATTTTAATAAGCAACCTTGGAATCATTTACATGCCAAAATAAATACAAAACTCAGTAAAAAGAAGAAGACAAAAAAAGCATATAAATCGTATAACACACGTGTCTGTGGGGGTGTTTTCATATTCATATTCATATTATTCATATTCAAATTTATTGTCCAATGATTGGAAATTTGTTTCATTTGCATGACAGTACACGTTTACACATTATAAACATCAATAAGATACATATGGGTACAGAGTAGAACATGTTTAAATCATGTTCTTTATTTAAACATAAATGGGTGATTTAAACGTTCCAGCTCTGCTGGACTGAGAGTGACATATATAGATTTTTGTTTCTCCAAAGGACATTTATGCTGTGATTTAAACGTTCCAGCTCTGCTGGACTGAGAGTGACATATATAGATTTTTGTTTCTCCAAAGGACATTTATGATGTGATTTATTCACTAGACGATGACACTTCTTTTAGACAAAGACTTTGTCGTGATTATGTGTCTTCATAATTATGACCTTGAAAATAGTATATTTAGACCTTTTCACATGCAAGGAAAAGTTGATGTGTTGTATCTAAAATCTTACATGTATCACATCAATTATCATTTTAATCTTCTATTCGTAAATTGTCTTTACTGCGAAATATTCTATGAACAGGATCGCAACAATTTTCGAAAAATAAACTCAAGGGTAATTCCGATACCCTATTATAAATCGCACAAAGCTAGTTACGATCGTGTTTCAATTCAGCTATTTCCATTTCTCGTAAAAATACATTCAAAAATACATTATACATATAAGCAAATATATAAACAGTACAAAGAATATGGAGGACCCAGCAGAGGCCATTGGCCTTTCAAGGGCTGGGCTCCGATGTCGGCAGATAATTAAACAAAGTAAAGAGAAAAGAAATAATGGGTAGTAAATAAACAAGCTTTTCATTAGATAATATTTGTATTTTCGTTTGAATGAGGCAAGAGATGGGCACATTTTTATATCGGTAGATATTGCCTTCCAAGTAATTACACGTAGTGCTCTTTTCTGTAAAATATAAACTTGATTCAGTAAAGTTTTTGCACAATGTCTTCATATCAGAGTACAATAGGACAGATGAGGAATAATGATAGCATTATAGATATTAATCAATTCAGAGGAATAAAGTGTCGTATTGTATAAAGTACACCTATTGCACATGGAATCTTCCGCCAGGTTTTATTGATATGTGGAGCCCAAGTAAGATTTTCATCAAGTGTCACTCCAAGAAATACAGTATTAGGAACTTGTAATATACCATAGTTATTAATTATATATCACAGATTTGCTCTGAATTTTTTTTCTTTCTGCTTAAATATCATATATTTAGTTTTTTTGGAATTTATAAGTAATTTGTAATCCAAAAACCACAACTCAATTTATGGTATTTCTGAAGTAATTATGGTTGATATTTTATTAATGTTTTTACCTGACAGAAAGAGGTTTGTGTCATCTGCAAATATGATTGGGCAAAGTTTTGGGCTTACACAAGTTGAATGTCATTAACATATAATAGAAAATTAATGGGCCTAAAATTGACCCTTGCGGAATACCTCCAGTAATACCTGTCAATAATGTGGAGATAATACCATCTATATACACAAATTGTTTTCTGTTAAATAAATAACTATTTATCAATTCTAAAGAAATTCCTCTGATACCATAAAATTTCAACTTACGTAACAAAATGTCATGATTGCCTTCGATAGATAAAAAAAAATCCTAGTCCAATATTCTTATTTTCAAAGGCTGTATTAAGATGATCGATAAATTCATGTAGGGCCATATATGTAGAATTTCCAG